GCTCGTCTACAGCAGCCAGGGCTAAAGTTAGCTCGTCTATAGGAGCCAGGGCTAACGTTAGCTTGTCTGCAGCAGCCAGGGCTAACGTTAGCTTGTCTGCAGCAGCCAGGGTTAACGGATGGTGATTTTTTTTTGTTTTATTTGGCAAAATGTTCATTTGATTTGTGTTTATCCGACTCCGTTCATTATTATTCCCCCACTAAACGAAAAAAGTCATAATTTATTATTATCTAGAGACTATTAATAACAGGAGGTGAAATGCAGCTACCGACGAGCCGAGCGTGTGGTGATGTCATCAGTACGTCTCTGTTCCAATTAACCCAGATTTATTCTGCGTTCTCCCAGTGTCCAGAGTTTCCGGTGTTCTTCTCAAGAACATACTTGGCGAGAACACGAGTCCGTACTCATGGTCTAGTGAATTAAGAAACGCTATAGATCGGGTAAAACGCTGCCAAATTATAATGGTTGGTTTGACCCAAAGATTGGTTGAACCCATAACTTCCAACCAGATTAAAACCAAAAACTTTAAAAAAAACTATAATGTTTAAATAAAAATGACTAAAACCTTTCATTTCATCATTGCCCAATTTGCACAAACACTTTCACTGTCTGCTGGAGCTTATTTTACAAAAACGGCAGAAAAACAATGAACTTAAACCTTAAATTATTTTTTTCTCTTCCAAGACATTTTACACACAAAAAACTTATAACAGATTTAATTATAGAGACGGATCATTAACAATTTCAAAGGAACTTGAATAGAGAAAAAAAGAAATCACAGATTATATTACTAACTGTAGTTCTGCACTCTACCAGTAGGTGGAGACATGCTCACATGAGGCTTCATGAACTGTGGGGATCGTTGAAGCAATTAGTCAAAACGGTTCAATGCCTCATGAGGCTTCATCTCACCATCGCTGGAGAAAACTCAGGTTTGTTTATTTGTAGCTTATAAATGAGTCGGTGATTAATGGATGAATTTATTGATGGATAACCTGCTTCCCTAACTGGGCTTATTACTCACACATCCACCTGGCACAGGTAGCAGTGGCAGTTCTCGATGACGTGTGCGTGTTTGGAGCGGTCAAACATGGGGACTGGGCCTCTGTCGCTCTTCGTCCTCACGTTGTTGTCGGCCGGGTCGATGGACACGGCCATGACGTGGACCAACAGGTGGCACGCGAACATGATGCCCGTGCACTGAGCAGCCGTTCAGGACTCAGACTGAGACGGAAAAAAACGGTCGGACTGCGGAGAACAGGAAACTGAAAACCAGCCCAGATTTTTCCTCTCTTCAACCGGGGATCTGGAAGTTGGATTTTTTATTTATTTATTTATTTACAGAACTGACATTTTCATTTTTTATTTCCTGTTTTTTTGCATATAGCTTTTGATTGCATTCTTTTCTAAATATGTTTTTCAGTTCTCATTGATTCTAGAGAGCAGGTTTTTCTCTGGAATGAGGAGAGATGATGCTTTTCTATTGGTCCGTATTTTGGCCTTAGAACAGCATCTTTATCGCTAACGTTTATAATGGGCTCAAAGTGAAGAGGATGTGATCTCTAAAAATGCTATTTGAAAAGAAGGTCAATTGTAAAAACTAGGGATGCACGATATAATCGGCCCCCTATCGGTATCGGCCTTAAAACTGAATATCGGACATC